CTTTTTCTGGCAATCTGATGGATGTGTCTGGATTTGGCGGTTGCCAGGAGAACAGTACTTGCCTGACTGCATTGTGCCAAGTGTAAAGTTTGTTGAGGGGGATTATGGTGTGGGGTTGTTTTTCAAGGGGTTGGGCTCGGCCCCATAGTTCCAGTGAAGAGAACTCTTAGGGCATTAGCATACCAATACATTTTGGACAATTTCATGCTCCCAACTTTGTGGGAACATTTTAGGGATGGCCCCTTTCTGTTCCAACATGACTGCGCACCAGTGCACATAGCAAGGTCCATAAAGACATGGATGAGCGTGTTTGGGGTGGAGGAACTTGACTGACCTGCACAGAGTCCTGACCTCAACCCAATAGAACACCTTTGGGATGAATTAGAGCGGCGACTGCAAGCCAGGCCTCACAAATGCGCTTCTGGAAGAATGGTCAAACATTCCCATAGACACACTCCTAAATCTTGTGGATGCCTTCCCAGAAGAGTTGAAGCTGTTATAGCGGCAAAGGGTGGGCCAACTCAATATTGAACCCTACGGACTAAGGCTGGGATGCCATTAGAGTTCATGTGCGTGTAAAGGCAGGCGTCCCAATACTTTTGGCAATATAGTGTATATTTATATCATTGAGGTGACAAGATATCTGGCACACATGGTGGTATTTAGCAGGCTTTTAAAAAACAAATTTCAAATAAAAGGTTAAAATGAATCAACCACTAGTAAATTTGGCCCAAATAGTCCATTGAGGTTGGTCATTTGAATCAGGGTTATACACAATATGAGGAAACAATGTTAAACGAGGCCCCTACATTACATGGGTGGCAGCCTGAATTTTATCTGCCACACCTTTTCGTTCATAAACATCAGAAAGGGAATATGCTGTAATATGACATTTCAAAACTGATATATCAATAGACCTAAAATATTGTTCATGTTCAGAAAAAAGTGTCAGCTTAGGGAAACGTGCCTAGGCATAATTCTGCCATATCTAATATACACACACCTCCAATTATACAAAAATTGCTTTGGGTACACACAACCTCACAAAACACCCTTACATACAATAGTCTAAACATTTTTGAGTTACTTGCAGGGAGAATATTAGGTTTCAGCTATTTTTTCTAGAAAAGGTAAAAAAATAATAGGAAGACGCAAAACTGTTTTTGGAAAACCATTTAGTATAGATATTTGTATTTATGCAAGTTAAAGGAGAACTATCTGGATAGTGAAATGCACTCATCCTCACAGTCAGTCACTGCCCCTGCAGGGATTCCCCCTCCCCTCTTCATTCCTCCAGCAATGAATGGAGAGACAGACAGGGGAGGGGGCGAGCACAGCTGGCTCTGGCTCTTAGAGAGGCAGAGCCAGCTGTCAATCAGGTGGATCTCGGGTGGATCAGGGTGGATCTCGAAAATATTGTCAGGATCTTTACAGGCTGAAGCGTGACTATATGCTGCCAGCATATAGCGGGCAATGGCCCGCATTGTGCAGAGTTTTGGGTCACAGGAGGACATTAGTAAATGCCCCTCCTTTTCAAAAGTCCATTCACAGAAAGCTTTGTATTTGGTGAATTGTGCCATCAAATAAAGTGTACTGTGATTGGGCAAGAGGAGAGGAGGGGCAAGTAAACTATGCAAAGGCTGCTGTGTAGGAAACCTCAAGGTTTAGTGTGTTGGAGCGCTGGTATATAGAGAGATGGCTATACTATCAGCACTCAGTGTAATTGTAAACATTGTAGAGAGCTGTAGGAACTGGCATAACCCATGTTGCATGTAACTATTATTAAGAAGCAGATTTTAAATAAAGATAACTATCCTGGAGTCCTTCCTTAATACACAGTTGTATGTAAACAGTTTATATACAGTGGTCCTATCCACATATCAATACTGCTGCTTACAATGGCTATTCAAAACCACATTCACATGTTCATTTGCAGTATCTATCTAGTCATTATTTACAACAGCATCATGCTACTTTTGCAGATTTAATCTACATCCTCAGCAGTAGTTTTAAAATTAAGGGCTAAGTATTGAACATAGATATAGGTGTAATATTATTACTGCTCTTCCAGAGCTGTGCCCGGCCTCAGGATTAGGGTAAGACCACAAATCTCTGTGGGAAATCCCTTTTGGCAGCCAAACCAGCTGCATACTGGGCTACCACATTAGCTGCTGAATCCCGAAGTAGAATAAACTCTCCTATGAAACAGTGCAAACAATGTTTGACATAATGAATAGGAAATACTATATGGCAGGATCGGTTTATTTTTACTCATTACTAGGTTGATATCAAACCTTCTGAACACAGCTAAAGCTTCAGTTATTGAATTCACTTCTTGGACTGTTAACAACATTGGCAGAGAAGAAAAATGTGAACATCTTTAAAAAGTGTAAATGCATCAATGTAAATCCAATGAACTGCTTTAAATGGCACCTCGCCTAGATTACCAATGTGTTGTATTCTGAACTGGCCCTGCAATCTAGGTTCACCGAGCTCAGTGAGGATTGCAGCTGTAGACAAGAACTCTGTATCCCAGCAGGACTCAAACAGGACAGGGTCCAATGCTGAATCCAGCTACCTATCTACACTACAGACATGCTCTCAAAACCATATTTGTAGATCCAGGTTACCTGTTAACCCTGTGGTAAACAAAACTGAAACAAGGCCCACATAATGGTAGCCATACGCATGTATATACTGTCACAAGATACAGCAGATAGTTCATATGTATATGGCATGTATAATGGCTTCATCAGAGGACAGAATTACCTAAAACAGCAAAGCAACCCCCTTTCCCCAACCATACTACATCACCTCCATGTCAGGGACATTCAGACAGTCAATTAGACCGTGTCTGATGCGATACTTCGACCAACCAAGGTATATTCATCAGAAAACAAACTGTTTTCAGTAAAACCAAGTGTGTCTAAATGTGCCTGTCTGTCCTATCCTTAATGAAAGCAGTGAGATCCTCCATGTGCATGATATCATTGAATCTCAAAACCCACTGGTGCAACGTGGAAGGCATTGCCTGTTTCCACATAATACAAATTCAAAATACAAGCTTTAGCAACGTTAAGGAGATGCAGTGTCAGAGTTTTTCAATATCCAGATATTGGGAATTGGTGTAAGGTGAAGCAAACACGCCACAGGATCGCCGGTTAGGTCTATATCTGTAAGTTTGAATATTATAGATCAGTGGTTCTCAACTCGTGGGTCGCGACCCAAAAGTGGGTCGCGACACCCTCTGCAGTGGGTCGCAGAGTCATGTCTGCATAGACCGGCCCATCTGCATTAGAGAGAACTAGAGGGGGAATTTGTGGTTCAGCCTGTGGAACCTCATAATGTCAAACTGTCCCCTCTCTCCCGGCCTCCCCCGGGCTCTCCGATAAAGTGGTATGGCCCGGGGAGAGAGGGGACTATTTCCTCACTTTCGGGCCGGCGCATTAATATCGGGCCGCGGCGCCCGACAATTAAGTAATAGTTCCGGTCTGCACGGGAGAGTACAGCAGATATCAATCCGCCGCTGTATCTACTGTACTCTCCAGTCCAGATAGTTCAGTCGGCTGGAATCAGAGAAAGGTAGGCAGGCAGATAAAGTTCCCTGCACTGACAGGGAACTTTATGACAGGGGACACTGATGGTCATTATGTATTCCAAACCCACATAATATCCAATAGTGTCCCCTGTCGTAATGTCTCCTGTCAATGCAGAAGCTTCGGGGGCATTAGCAGGGGCTTAGTAGAGAACCTGCCGTGGTGCCCCTACTAATGAATACCCTGTGACTAGAATTGTTACATTTTAGGACATTCATAGAAAATGTGCAAAAGTGGCCCACCAACTTCTCAACGCCAGCATCTATTTCACGATCCTGGGAAGATGTGTGCAAGGACATGAGGGGGTCCAATACCACCTGGTTAGTATCATGTAGTTCAATTCCTGGTACTGGTTGTTGGGCTTAATGTACTTGAGCATACAGTATATCAACACTATGGAACATGATGGTAACGTTATATTACATAGACTGCTCGACTGCTCTACAGCAGTGGTTCTCAACCTGTGTAACCTCGGGACCCACATGTTTCCTTGGTCATTAAGGCGTGACCCAAAAATGATTTCATTTCTGAAACATTTTAATTTATTACACAAAACAACTTGTGCAGTATTCAGCAATATATATTTTGCTGAAAGTAAATGAATTAAAAAAAATTAAAAAGTTTATAAAGAATAAAAATTAAATATTTAAAAAAATTAAAATAAAAACGTGTGGGGGTGGCGGTTGCGGGGTACAGTTCCAATGGATGTTTATATAATGGGGGGTGGGGGGGAATGACAGGGGCACCACGGCAGGTTCTCTACTAAGCCCCTGCTAATGCCCCCCGAAGCTTCTGCATTGACAGGAGACATTACGACAGGGGACACTATTGGATATTATGTGGGTTTGGAATACATAATGACCATCAGTGTCCCCTGTCAAAGTTCCCTGTCAGTGCAGAAGCTGGGGGAGGGGTGCATTAGCATAGGCTCTGCTGCAGGTACAAAAATTGCAGCGGAGCCCCCTGCTAATGCCCCCCCCCAATATCCTCCCCAGCTTCTGCACTGAGGACAATATGTGTGAGAGTGCCCTCTCTCCCCGGGCCATACCACTTTATCGGAGAGCCCGGGGGAGGCCGGGAGAGAGGGGACAGTTTGACATTATGAGGTTCCACAGGCTGAACCACAAATTCCCCCTCTAGTTCTCTCTAATGCAGATGGGCCGGTCTATGCAGACATGACTCCGCGACCCACTGCAGAGGGTGTCGCGACCCACTTTTGGGTCGCGACCCACGAGTTGAGAACCACTGCTCTACAGAACACACTCAGTGTTCATTTTTAAGACATTTACACACCTAATCTGAAGTTCTAGCCAAAATTAAAATCCTTACTTAGAAAAGGGTGATAAGCTGACTAGGACGTAAAATAAAAAACATGTAATTGCCAGGGAAAAACATGGAACTCACCAAGAACGCTATTACACTTCTTTTTGTAGACTCCCACTGAAAGCAGCTCTTTATGAAACGCATTGTGTTCCAGATTGCCATAGTGATCTTTTTGACACGGTAAACATTCCTCGATAAGATCTAAGAGAAAGGAAAACTGATGAATATTTGGGAAACAGAAGTCTTGTACAAAGAATCAATTTCACCCTAAGGATCCTTTATGTTCAATAATGTTCTCTCTAGGTTCACCGATGACATATTTAAAAACGTTTTGAGCCTAGAACTAACAATAGGGACAAAGGGGGAGTGTTGGTAATTCAGAAAAGTAGCAACTGCAGAGTTAAAAAAAACATGCTATTTTGATAATATTACTTAAGCGTAGAATGGAGGTCAGTAGAACACAGTTTACCTAGCACAAAATAACACTTACATCCAGTGCACATTAAATCTGAACTCTGGGCACAAAGCCACAAAGAACACAGTGGTTTGCAAAAGTATTCACCCTTTGCCCTCCCCCCCCGTTTATTTATCCTTTTTTGTTGCATTACCACCTGGAATTGATTTTTGGGGGGGTTGTATCATTTGATTTACATAACATGCCTACCACTTTGATGATGCAAAATATTTTTTTATTGTGATACAAAAAAGAACTTTGTAGAGCCACCTTTTGCAGCAATTACAGCTGCAAGCTAGGCACATCCTGCCATTGGGATTTTTGCCCATTCTTCAAGGCAAAACTGCTCCAGTTCCTTCAAGTTGCATGGGTTTCGCTGGTGTACAGCAATCTAAGTCATGCCTCAGATTCTCAATTGGATTGAGGTCTGGCCTTGACTAGGCCATTCCAAGACATTTAACTGTTTCCCCTAAACCGATTGTTGCTTTACAAGTATGCTTAGGGTCATTGTCCTGCTGGAACCTCCGTCGCAGTCTCGTATCGTTGTCAGACTGAAACAGGTTTCACTCAAGAACTTCCCTGTATTCAGCACCTTCTATCATTCCTTCAATTCTGACCAGTTTGCCAGTCCCTGCCGATGAAAAAACACCCCCACAGCATTATGCTGCAACAACCATGCTTCACTGTGGGGATGGTGTTTTCGGGGTGAGGAGGTCTTAGGTTTGCGCCAGACATAGTGTTTTCCTTGAAGTCCAAAAAGCTCAATTTTAGTCTCATCTGACCAGAGTACCTTCTTCCATATGCAAACTCTGGGGCCTTTTAGAACGTACGTACGTAATATATATATATATATACACACACACACACACACACATACACACACACACACACACATACATATATACATACATACACACTGAGATCATGTGGCACTTACAGGGTTATTCTCAAAAGGGTGAAGAGTTTGGAGAAGGCAGGAGAAGTGAACAATTTAGGACAACATAGCTGAACTGTAAAGTGAGCTGAATTGGAGAATCTTTCCAAATCAGCTATGTTGTCCCAGATTGTTCACTTCTCCTGCCTTCTCCAAACTCTTCACCCTTTTGTATATAACCATGTTAGATTGTACACAGACAGTCTTTTTTAACTAAGTATGTGACTTCTGCAGGCAATTGGTTGTACCAGATCTTATGTAAGGGCTTAATAGCAGAGTGAAAGTAAACATGTTCATCAAGGACCATCTCATACTATATGCCCATGTCATTATTCCATTAAAAGGGTCATTGTGACAGAACAGAGCAACACTGAAGAAGAGATCTTGGTGCAATAGTTTATAAATGGTATAGCATGATTTAACTGCTGGATTTCACCTAGGACCAATTGTTTTGTGAGGGATGGAAAATAACTTTACAAGGATTTTATGTGGTCACATGTTGAGCTGCCCAGTGTGTTTTAAGGTTTACAATAGACTTTGTCTATGGGGTAATTTGGACACATTCATACTATTTCAAAGTTTCTGTACTATTTCTAGAGCACTAAATCAACCAATTTAGTTTTCTCTATCAAAGAGCAATTAACTTGGCCCTTTTCAGTTGATGCCACTAACCTTTTTTGATAACTTGGTGTTTTCTTCCAAAAAGCGCTTCTCTTTTGGGTTAAATGTCCTAATACCCGCTCTGACCTAAAAAATGATTACAAAAATTTAATTTATAAATGAACCTTTTTACAGGTATCAAACTTTGCAATATTGTAAACAAAGGTGTCTTATAGCTTCAACTACTTACTGGATTAAATATCAGATCGATTTCTAAATAGATCGCTCCTTTGGAGGCAGTGGATAAGTCTTTGTTTTTTAACATGTAAGCAATCTGTTGTCCATCCTTAACCTTGAAAGAAAAAAAAATAGTTATGCATCATTTTAGATGAACAGAAAAGACATTTCTTGGCATTTAACTTTTAAGTCTTTAGGTTATACTAATAAGAATCTATATTGTATGGTCGGTCACTGCACATTACAAGCTATTACTGTAACGATAAGGGTGCCATTTTGCAGATGTTAAGATCTGAGATCTACTTGCCTGCATTTGTACACGGACTCTGACAGCTGTCAGGAGCTCTCTGCTCACCTCTGTCATCATGATGATGAACAAAGATTACTACAGAGAAGTGCATTTTTGGCCCAGTGATATGCAGACCTGTGGCGATAGGCAATGTGTCGTGTGGTAAAGTCCCTTCATCATAGAGATGAACAGAGTTTTGCAGAGAGCTTCTGACAGCTATCAAAACCAATGCATTTGTGTGGGCATGAAGCTCATGGTTATTTAAGCCCCTAAGAGCACCCTTAACTGCTAGTCATTTTTAATATTATTTTCATATTTAATATGCTTGCCATACTGTATGTTTGGAAAGTATTTCATATATACATTTTCAGATTCTCTCGATTGGTCATCTCCAAACCAGACAGTAATTTGCATCACCGCCAAACAAGTGCTAAATGCAGAGTCCATTACTTTAACTCAGACAGCACAGGGTGATAGACATGCATTCAGAGAGGAAACAGTAAAACAGAACCTAGGTGATGTATTACCAATAAGGAAGTAGAGCATTTATACACAAGGAGATCATGTACATTAAAACTGATCAAAATGAAGTATGGGTCCAACAAAACTTAGACTAAGTACAAAGTCTATTTTTGTGAAAAAAATCTCCCCCTCACACCACAGTTTGAAATAATCACCTTTAGCTCTGGTCTTGTCACCTACACTGCACCCTGCACCTATGTTCATAAATAGTGCTTGCTAGGCGATGCACCCACTGCACACACCTGACCCCATTCATTCCTATGGATAGGGTCGTACTTCAATATACATAAGTACATCCCCATCTATAAGAATAAATGAGGCTAGCAGCTCGTATACACAAAACAAAATTAAACCCATCCGTTAATGCTTAGGCCCATTTTATACGAGCGCTCAGGTTGTCAGATTTCCAACCCTCCGTTTGCAGATGAAAAACGGACAACGTTCATTTCTATGACTGTGCGGATGAAAACTGATGACCATCAGTTTACATTAGGAAACATCAGTGTCAGTTGAGGTCCGCAATTTGAGACAGATCAGCTCTCCGTTTTGACTGACCGGGACTGATGTAACCCGATGTCAACTGATGATCAGTTTCCGTCCGCTTTTTGGGACTGATATTGTAATACAGCATGGCAAGCTTAATGCATGCTGGGGGAAAGCAAAGAGTCATGGGAATTTACCATACTTTAATAAAAAAAAGTCCAAAACGGATGTGTAAAAAAAAACAAAACGGATGTAAACTGAACTGACAACTGATGTGCTAAATTATGTAAACTGATTCGGTTTTCATCAGATTTTTTGTATCCAGGAACCTTGACTGAACTGATGACACTCGTGTGAAATGGGCCTAGGGGAGGATCACTAAGGAAAAGCCACAAATGCTTCTTTTACAGGAAGGCAGCTCCTGAGGAGGGGAGAGCGCCTGTCCCTTGCACAGTATTACTTTATTTGGTAAAAAAGCATTTCCATAAATCTACTCACAAGCATATGAACCTGTAAGCCAACTCCAGATCAAATTGAGATATTCATAAAAACAAATTCAAATTACAATCCACACAACCCAGGCAAAAAAAGCTGTACTGCTTACATATGTCGCCGGGTGCCAAACAGCCCACTCAGTAACAGTCAGTGGAATGGCTGACGCATTTAAGGGGGTTGTACCTCCTTCTACAGAGCCTTTTTTCACAGAACAGTGGATGTACAGTCTGAATGGCAATAAATAAGAGCAAAGCCTGTGAAACACTGAGCAGAGTACTGAAGATTTTGGGGGGCTGAAGGTATTGAATTCCCCCTGATACTTTCGAGGTGTAGGAGGTTGTGAATTTATAGTGTTTTTATAAAAACTGCATACTTATATGAACCACATGCATCAAGCAGGTAGAATGCTTCAGACAGAAACTCCTGTTCTTTTGCAGAATTATTTAGTGCTATGCTGTGAATAACCTAAACAGCTGGTTGTGAGTAGAGCAGGCGATCAGATTACACAAACCCAGCAAAAAGAGCCAGAGGAAGAAAACATCTCTCTAACAGAGACCAGTCATAAGGATTTTTTGTTAGACAAAGGCAGTCCAACAGGACTTCATTAGAAAACACAGCATGCTTTGCAAATAATAGATCCTTGTTTTATATATTACATAATAGCCCTTGTATTATTATATGTTAAAGGGAAACTATAATGGTTTTTGGTTAACTACATTACTTATGCTGGGGCGTGGCCGAGATGTGAAGCAGAGCGGACGTGTCTGAGGGAGCTCCGCCGCCACACTGAGCTTCATCCGGCTTTAATCCTGCAGACTCGGTTCCTGTTCTTCACACCCGAGCTCCGGTGGATGTCCGGAGCAGGGGGATATGCCCTCTAGGTCTGGCAAGCGAGGTAATACCCCGAAAGGTGGCTGGAGGAGATCCCAGCGTGCGGCCTCGTGTCCCGCCGCCGCCATCTTGCCGCCGTCCATTGCTCCCTGTGAGTGCTCACGCCGGACCTTGTGCATGGAGGGAGTAGCTGCAGACGCTGCTGAGGTGGCGCTGGCCCCTCCGGAGCAGCCTGTCTCCCCACCGACCACAAGTAAGGAGAGGGCTGAGACAACAGCTATCCTGGAGGCCATAGAGGGCTGTAAAATCGCCCTCACAGCCAAAATAGACCATCTGGCGGTGGAGTGCACATTGATCAGACATGATCTGGACAAAATTCGGGGCAGGATGTCCCAGGCGGAGGCGCGGGTGTCTGGGGTGGAGGACTCGGTACAGGAGCATGCTACTGCAATACAAGACCTGCAACGCACCGTGAACACGCTGGCGGCAAAGGTAGAGGACTCCGAAAATAGAATGCGTCGCAATAATGTGCGCATAGTGGGCCTGCCTGAGGGGGCGGAGGGCCAGAGGCCTGCTCAATTTGCGGAGGCCTTCTTTAAATCTGTGCTGGCCATGGAGGAGCTGCCCCCCACCTTTGTGGTGGAATGGCAAATGTTGTTAACTGTTGTTACTTGTAACATAAAACTTTAATAAAAATAATTTTTCAAAAAAAAAAAAACTACATTACTTATGCTAAAGTGACACTAAACTCAGGCGTTAAATCTTAAAAATGCATTTAAGTACCATATTTACAAAAATGTCTCTTATTTGTGTATCACTCGGCTGTAGATCCTTAAATCATCTCTGAATTGGTGCCGACACTGTCCTTCCTTCTAGAGGGTGGCTACTTTTGTTCCCCCATGGTCACTGTGTGTGTCAACGCTCCAAGCTTGCTCCCGTAATTGACTATATCATGTTTAGTTTAGTAATTTGTATTGAGATCGTAGTCCATCACGGGAATGAGCTTGGAGCGGTGACTACTTTACAACACACACAGGGACCATGGGGAACAAAAGTAGCCACCCTCCAGAAGGAAGGACAGTGTCAGCACATTTTTGTTAAGAGTTGAGGTACTTGAATGCATTTTTAAGATTTAACTCCTGAATTTAGTGTCACTTTAAATGTTCATTTTACAAATAATCATTTAACACAAGTAATGAAAAGTGAACTTAACCACTTCCAGTGGGTTCACGTAAATACACGTCATCCGCTGGAAGTGGTTATACCAAGAATACAGCTTCTGTTGCAGCCATGTTCTTGGTACCATTTTAAAACAGCAGATGATTGCTGTTCAAATACAAGTGATCCGGCGTCTGTCCCCCGTGTGAGCCCAGGACCGGCGTGGTGGGTCTCCCCTGATGGATCGGAGGGAGATCACCAGGCTTCTAGCCGCTGACCTCTCCTCTGATCACTGGACCTGGAAGTGATGTGCATTACATCACTTCCGGTGTCACTGGGCACATTCTCTGCTTCATCAGCTTTTGGTGACATTAGGGGTCTGAATGTTTCTGTGCACTAAATTTCATTTTAGTGTATGTTATCCTAAAAATACTGGTTTGATAAACATTTGCGCAAATACTGTGTGACATAAAAAATTGCAACTAGCATCTTTTCATTCTACAGGGCCTCTGCTTTCAGAAAATATATAATTGTTTGGGGGTCTGAATCCGTTTTTTAGCCAAAAATTCAGATTTTATCATGTGTGTGCAAATGCAAGAAATTGCTCCAGACAGCAAGTGGATAAAGATCAGTTTATAAAACTTGTGAACAAACTATGTAATTACCCCAAAACCATTATAGTTTCCCTTTAAAATGAAAAGATAAAACACAAATCTAGAGATTAGAAAACCGATATCAAAATATGACAGTTACAGTAAAACAATATGAACACTTGGAAAAAACATACAATGGTTTCACTTAAAATATCAAATGTATTTGCAGAGAAAAGGAAACATAATAGCAGAGGAAAGCTGACAGGATGATACTTATTAAATTCTTGGCATTGTGTGCTCACAAAGACAGCTTTGCTGGACACTGATATTCTACAGTTTAATAAGACACAATTTCCACTTGCAGATGAAATGGACATGCTATCTGCGTGGCACAATCTGCCCCTCTGGCACATTAATACATTTTCTGTAGCATTAGTGTCGATGTAGAACATTCTACACAGTTGTAGCCAAATGTTCTTTATGGCCATTTTCCACGCACATTCCCTTTACACACAGGTGTAGTCACAGGACCATCTACAAGTTCATAAAGATTGCTGAAAGACCGGGCAGCTCTTAAGAAAAAACGAGCGAGCACAGTCTGCTGGAGGATCCCTGGGAACATTTGGCACGGAGTGATACTCTGCATGAGCATCTGCTCCAGCCTATCTCTTCCAATAACATCAGGGATATGGGGACCCAGGGACATGTTAACTCATCAAAAAGTGCACAAAAGTACAGGGAGCAGGGGCCATTCCTCTGTAAACATCAGCATGTTCAATGGCTCAACCAAAGTGTTACCCGCTGCTTTGATTAACACTGTTTAGGAAAGACTCATTTAATGTAAAAGGAAAATTGTATACTTTGGTTTCAAGGATGCTGTAATTTATATAACATACCTTTAACAAACCAAACACTTTTTTTTTTTTTTTTAAGCATGGCTCATTTTGGCATAATCTGCATTTTAAGCTGACTATCATGTACTCTCTTTCAGATGAGCTATGCAGCTTCCCCCCATTCGCATTGTTATAAATAATACACGTCAGTCTGCTTCAGACAACAGTAAGCTGAAGAATGAAACTGATGGTAGGCATCTGATAATGAACAATCAAGACACTTCCACCTATTATTCAAAATGACACCAAGGAGATGAGTAGCAAAGCTTAAAACGGAACTTAGAAGCACACTGCAATTTTGGCAGATCAACAGGCTTTTTCCTACAGTGTTTTTGCTCTGGACTTGCCACCGGGAGCAATTTCTTAATTGTTGCACACACATGATAAAATCTGAATCTTTGCCAAGAAAACATCTTAAAGCCCTATATTATCTGAAAGCAGAGACCCTGTAGCATAAAAATGCTAGTTTTCAATTTTGTATGACGCACAATCTTAATGCAAATGTTTATCAAATGCTATTGCACAGGGGCTAGCATGCACCCTGTGTGATAGCAAAGAGGATGTTACATGGAGACATCAGGGGTCTATTATGCTTGGATTTGAATCACACAGTCAACCTAAATATCAGCTATTCAAAAGACAATTTGACCCTATATAAATAAAAGCAAACACTACCTGGATGTTTTGCTTATATTGGGGAGAGAATGAAGTTGGATTTCAATGAAAGCAGGCAGATCTGTTTTCACCTACTATTAAAAAGGTAATCTTACACAGATTGTTACTTTGCACATTTGAAGCAAAATGACTTGACAGATGTCACAAATGAGTGACAAATGTTCTCTTGCAAGAAGAGCCACCCTAACCACAGATGCTTACCTTCCATACTGCCCTAATGGCGAGTTGATTTCCTCCTCCTTCTCACATGACTGTGTGAGGGCATAGCGATTGGCTATTAAGCCCTGAACATTTCATCCTGGAAATAGTTTACATGCTCCTCCATACCCAAAAAGAACTCAGACAGAGCAAGAGAGTGTTTGGAAAGCATGGTGAAGGAGACAATCAGATAGTGCAGGATTCTTCTTACGTGAACCTGTCAATTCGCCATAGCCCAATCACTGCATATAGCCCCAATATAATCTCCTTCCTTGTTACCAAAGTAAAAAGATCAGTAAAATAAAAATGGATCAGATTATTAGTGTGCACATAGCACAGACAAAGATACAATGGAGGTTTACCAACACGAACAGTAGGAATCTAGAGCAGTTGCCCATGGCATTTAATCAGCTTCTCTCTTTAGTTTGTTCAGTCAAGCCTTAAAAATTGAAGGAGAGAAGCTGATTAGTTGTCATTGGCAACTGCTCCACATTCTGATAAATTCCCCTGTCAGTGTTTTAACACAAAATTAAATGTTAATAGTTTTCCACTGGAACTAATGTCTCCAGCTTAACACAGGAAAACAAATGTAATTAGGCAAGGTTGTGCGACCTATCCGGTCACTAATCTCCCTGACAAGCCTTAACCAATGTCTTATGCTGTTGTCCACTGACATTAGATGATCTCCCAATCTACCTGCAAACAACAAGATCAGCTAATGTCATTCAAGTCTACGGCCAAATTAATTCTGGAACCCCGAAACTTGAAAGCACCATGCAAGCAGGTTGCCTGGTCTGCAGCTGTAAGTGTATACTATATTTAATAAAAGGCCCGGCCAAGCTCTCTTGGTTAAAAAGGCTACAATGCACATGGTACATCTCCCCCCCCCCATACATGGCAGATGATCCACTAATGTCCAACTATTACTCGGATAACTGTTTAATAGTCTACTGTATCTGGTCTCCCAACTTAATAAAACCAAGACATTTTTGCTATGTGGGATCACAAATTGGGACATGAAATCAAACCTTTACAAATTTTGTTGTTGGATACTTTAAAGGAAAAATACATATATTTTAGGCTAAATATATATTTAAAAAAAAAATATCAACAGTGTTTACTTACAGAGAGTAAAGGGATCACAACTTTCCCAAGAAAATCAGGAACTTTATCTCCATCTTCATCAAAAACTGTCACCTCTAGTGTGTCATGAAGATCCTTGATAGGACTAAAACAGATAAAATATTGGACATTAACCTTCTTATTAATACATAATGAACAATACATTTAGAAGTCAAAGACAGGTGTTTTAGGTGGAGTGAGGTAGAGTTTGACTCTATGCTGGAGCATCTTAATCTTTGTTGACCCCAGCAGCAAGTTTAAAACACCCAGACCTGTTGTGAAAGCTAACCTTTGCTAAGAATTGAATGCTCCTGGTTTTCTGTCTGAAGGGCATTTTTCATATATTTGTGTAGAGAACTTAGTATGGGGGGGGGGGGTTTTGCAAGGGACACCCTAATAGAGATAAGCTTCATCAAAATGTTCACTTTGTTTGCCTGAGGAAGGAACAGAGTTAGGTTCTGAAACGTTGCCACATATTGTGGTCCACTTTCAATGTCAATAAAGAAGATTTGACATTTGAACATTTTGGAGTGCCAGTGATTTCTTTACTTTTCCATCAAAATGTTCAGCTCGGAGCACAGCTTACTGGCATGACGGGACTTAAGAAGTAGTAAATATCTTTGTCAGGGTCACTGTACCCATAATTAAAGAAAGTTAAGTATAAAAAAAAATATGTGCACAGCCTCGCAATAGCCTTAATGGAGCATTCATGAAAAGCAAAGGTGACTAAACCTCATTGAGAAGAACTATAACTGATGGCCATTTACTATTAGTCGCAATCAAAACAAACAGAATGGGATAAGGAGAGAGTTGTGTGCATGCAGCAAGCGAAGGGTCACAGATATTAGAGGGTAGACATCCAAGTAAGTATTATCTAATTAAACGAAGACTTAATTTCAAAGACAGATGTCTCTGAACATGCACATTTAAGTCTGTGAGAAAGAGAGGAGGCTGTACATTTAGATACCTTTGCCACTTATTTATGTCTACTAAATACTAAAGAAATATCCCAGATGACTGAGTCCCCTAAGATCCGCAAGTACAGTATTTTACAGCAATGAACAGTGGCCACAGGTATGATCACAATAAGCCAGACATTTTTTTTTTCTTATGTCATTTGACCCCTGAAAGTGTATGTAAGCCAAAACCTTTTCTTTGGGCAAGTATGGATCGCATGGGGAAGTGTTAGAATTCCTGTTAGGTTTTTACTGCTATTTAAGGTTCAGTAAGTGACTTCTCCTCACTTAGGGGTGTATTTATAACAAAATTGTGAGGGTTCACTCTGTGAACATCTGACTTTTAGATTTGCATGCATTTTGGTCACTGGATGGAGCCGAGGAGCATATGAAATTCCTATACTTCTCAGCTCCATATAGTGGCCATAATACAGTGTGGATCTTAAAGTCATATGTGTGCAGAACAAATAGTTCTGCAAACTTTTTTTTAAATACAACTCTTACTATTCAGCTGACATTTTAGTAGACAGAAGGTGAGGCGAACTCTCCAACAGTAAGACTGACAGACATTTTTTATTTTTAGCTGAGTAAGGAAAAGGTTAGAACTCCCGTCAGAAATTTACTGTGGTTTCTATTGCTGTTGCAGATTTTCCCTCACTTCCTATCTGGTAAGCGTGGCAAAATCTCTTCCTGATAGTGGTAAAAAACAGCCACAGGTTCCAATCTTTCCTGACTATCTAAACTAAAAAGAATGGACTTGACATACACATTAGGCCACTGAATGACAAGAAAAAGGACAGTGTTACCCGACAAATGAAGACATAATTAGTGGAAGATGATGTATGCAATTAATACTGCTTCTCAGTAGAAGTGAGAGACATCAGACTAGTTTTTGTGGGACAATGGATTATTTAAAGTAGTATAAATCTCTCATTCATTTTTCATTAATGAATCAAGATCAAACAAATATATATTGCCCAGCAAAGTATCTCTTTTTACACAGACACTTATAATCATCATGTTTCCAAACATCTCAAATTCTCTCAGCTCTACTTTCCTGAACTTCCTGTCCAGTACAAGATCACAAGGGACAGAGCAGACTCCAGCAACTGTTCATCTACTATCTTGAAAATAGGAAGAAGGAACGAGCAGTAGAGTCGCTAGGCCTTTGTGTTTGTGGAGACACAGCTTACTAGCACACACTAGAGTGGCTCCAAAGGGCACTGCAAGCGAATGGAGCCACCCTAAAACAGGATATAAGGACCAGTGCTCAGGGGACTAGCTGATTCTGCAGGAAAATATAACTTTTAGACATCAAGGAGCAGCATCCATTGTCATTGATTTCATCAGCATTTAAAAAAAGCTTAAATATTTGACTAATATCACTTTAAATTTGCTCCAGTTTTTATCAATCAGCCCTATGACTTTAACATTATTACATGACCTAAATGGAGACATCCATGCTTTGCTTCCCATTTTTTTGAGACAGGAAAGGCTAAATACTAAACTCCACTGCAGACCACACACAGGCACATACACCCATTTACAGTAAAAAGATCTGGGTGTCTTACTTCCCCACCAGGTGCCAGCATGCGATGCAAGGCTGCCAAAATGTTCAGCTGGAATGTGATTAGAGTCCAACATAATGGCTTATTTACACATGCAAATCAGGCCCTTCCATACATGGTCTGTACAGTTTAACGGCCTATGTAAAACCATCTAAAAGTATTTCACACTTTCACAACCTATAGATTATAACATTAAAATAAACTCTATTATAAAAAGGCACATTTTCCATTTTAAGAGTAAATGTCACTACAACACAGCATAGTCATTGGACTCCTCACATAATAGATGTCTGTATTTCCAGAAGAACGCACTGATGCTCCAGTGACAGGTGTCTGAGATATGCCAAGGTTCAGTGCGGCACAGTGGGTGGCTTCTGTGTTGTCACTTTATGCAAATAATAAGATACTGTTGTTATAATATCCGCAACCATTGTACATAGAGATAGTGTTTGGAGAGCTCTGTCAGTATCTGATTTTGATCATTTTCTTTTATGCCGTTACAGATGGAAATATAGTCAATAGATGCATAATTCTTGAAAATCAGCTACTAATATATTTAAAATGACCTAAACCTAAATAACATAATACATTGAAAACGCAAGCTTTCGAAATATGCAAGGTTTTTATATCAGGAGAGTATCACAAAGAAGAAACTTGCAAGCTGATAAATGGTATCAACAACTTCAATACCCGTTTTCTTTTATTCATAATAATCACACAATCTGGGTACATGTGCATCCAAGTCATGGGCAGTAAATGGTAGCTATGAATGATAAGATTTACTATAAAATGGTCTCTTGTAAAAAAATATTGCAACCGATATTTTGTATTTGAATAAGTCAGAGGTGGTAATTTCGGTACCTGCATTGCCACTTACAATCATCAAAATGCACAAAAAACAGATACATTAAAAAATATCCACTATACATCTGCCTTAAGACTCCACTTCCATTCCTCCCACATGGCTTTAGGATGAGTCAATAAGGCACTCTGTGATGTCACATAGGAGGGAGGAGCATCCAGCTTGAGAAAGGAACCAGTTGCTTTGTGTGCAGACCTGTTCAATAATATTGCTATGAATATGCTTCTAAATCTAGCTACCAAGTATACAAGCCCTTGTATTAAAGAGTGTTTGTGATCCACAGAGGTCATAAATTAGTGTTAAAGCATTCTAAAAGCAGATTAAAACAGCATTGGGGTAACAGTGCCAACCTCTCTGTGCAGATCAACAACATTCAGATTGAAAAAAGACCTGAGAACTTTTCACTTCATAATGGCTGCATAGACCTCAACTTCCAATTCAAAATTAAACAATTCCCACTTGTATGCCATTGTTTCTATATAGATTGTTCACACATTTGTCAGCATGCAGGACATTTTAAGCAACTAACAATATTTGATGTTGCATTTGGTTAATATTACTTGTTATTTAACAAGTACATTACTTGATTACTGTTGGTAACATTTGACTCTGTCAACAACATAAACTGCCTGGAAGGTTTTAATTGAAATATTAAAATGTATGGTGACAGCAAGCTCCATAAGATCAAAGCCGTATACACTTTATTCCATTCAGGGTTGAGATTTTTGTAGACCGTGTGCGTCTGAAGTCGATCATTTCCCAGTTCCAGGACACAGAATGGATCACTTTTACCTGCGCAGAAAGAAAACCGATTACCATCCAATCAACTCACAACAAAATTAATTGTACAATCAGGATGTGTACAGATGTCCAAGATTGTGAAAACTAAAGGAGGATTTACTATAAGAGTTTGCAAAGTGAATGCTAATAAATATGGTGATGATGCAACCAATTGATTGCCATCAAAAATACATGTTTTTTCCCCCCAATTTTCCTCGCACATGAATGGGTATTAAAAGCAAATTCAGCTTAACCTTAGTTACGAACATTCACTTTGCAAAATGAACACCCTATGTTGCTTAAAGTAAATTATCCTCAATGCTATGTGTGACTTGTAAATGCTCAAATATGGGTATACCTTACAAGCCTAAAGTGTGCAAACCATATGAGGAAAGGTACAAAGGTTTTTTACACCAGAATCAGAACCAGTAATTTTGACCAGTACATGAACAAGATTATAAAGAGAGTTGGGCATTGCTTTCCGCTTCCTTTTTTTTTACAAAAGAAAGATTAAATAGTAAAACCTTTAGACAAGACACAAAAACATATGGAGGCATCAAATAGAAAACTGTATGCAACATATTCACTAAACTAAACACAGTGATATATATATCCAAAGAGAACTAGTAATATTCCACCCTGATGTATACAGATGATATAGAGCCCAATAGTTCACCCTCATGTGACTACTTCATTGGCCCTACATATAATACAGTTTTATAAGGTACAGTAAAAAATAGGACCAGTACAGAATTACAAGTGATGGAGAACAATGTTATTATGTTCTACTCAAAAGGACTTGAGAAAAAACTGAATCTTCTTCCTAGAGAAGAGGTCACCATTAAACAGATGTGCAGGACCTTTCTATGTCTCTGGTGCCTGCCCACAGTAGTTCGGCCTTGGCATATTGACATTCATAAACCTTAAGCCTCTTGTAATGGTCATTTGAATATACTGTGGAGTGGATTTGTACAAATGTTATTGGTCAAAACTAAAAACACAAAAATACAATTTAAACATGTATATATAGTACACACACACAAATATATTAAAAACATATAAACTTAAAGCTAAAGTAAAATATAACCAACCAAATGTCCATTTGCCTTTAAAGAACAGTTCTAGTCTGAAGAAAAAAATGTGACATGCATTTAGGAGCTGGGCAGGTAACGAATTATCAAAAACAATTTACTTCCATTTTCTTGAGAGCAGAGAGAAGCTAATATACAACCCAAGGCTTCAGACTTTGACACTGACTTTCTCAGCTATGGCATGCTGTGATCCAACACACTTTCTAAAAATTTTTATTGATCAAAGTGTGCCTTACTGCTGGTTGGTGGCCCCACAAACCCTAAAGAAACCTTTATTTGAAAGGCTGATACAAGTAAAAACCCTTCTTGCTGTTGGGATTAATATTTTAGATAAAAAGGGTAAAATGTTAGTTGTTTCAACCACCCTTTATACAAGGGCTCTTTTCTTTCCCTCAGAAAGTGTTGCGTTTTCCAAATCTCTATTAAAGGAGAACTGTGGGCTCAGTGTTTTTCCACATAGTTCTCCTTAGGGTAACGGGAGGACACAAACTAGCATCCTCCCGTTACCCTAAGCTCAGTATACCGCGAGCTATACTGAGATTTCTTAGAAGTCATGAATGTATTTTTAGGATTTAACCCCTGGGTTTAGTTACACTTTAAGAGAAATATACAACACAGAAGGCAGTTGGATGGATTGTAACTGATATGTGCTTTGTTCTTTCAGCATAATATATTCCTAAAAAATAAAGAAAAGTGATGGAAGATTTTAGAAAATACTAAAGCCTGCAGATCTAGTGGTAGGGGTTTTCAAAAATTTAATTTTTTGCCCACTGGTGCTGCAACTGGACAAGTGTGCGGCCTTCTCCTCAAAGTTTAAAGTTGCCACTTGTTGCTTGCAAGCATTTAGCAAGATTTAGTCGCTATTCAAGTCACACGACTGTACAGCCCCGATAAAGTGGATGCAAATGCTTTGACTTGGATTACAACAATCGAATACAGCAATTTTTGTCCATCTCTAACCTTTCATCTTTCTTTATCTCAACCTTTCGTATTAGGCTTTGTCCTTTCTGACTGAAGCAAGGTGTTCATTTGGTTGTACTGTACTTTATCCTTCACTTAACCTTTTCATAAATCAAGAATTTAATAAAATAAGCTTGTGAAGGAGATGTGACATTAATGGGACCAGCCCTCAATGCAACAACAACACAACTGACCGATCTCAAATCTTGCATGAAAACACTGAAGTGTTCTTCCCGTGTAAGTTCACACTGAACATACAAACTATGGTAAGACTGACTGCAAAAGCCTGATTTTGTTCATCTATTGTCAAAAACGATTTAGATCTGCTGCCATTTAAAAAGATGTAATAATCCCCTTCAGACACATGTAATTCGCCTTACAAATTACATAACAATCTAGAACGTTTTATCAAGCCGAACACCCCTGTGTGCGGTTCATATTCGAACTCCCGAACGGTCGAAAAGTTCGAACACGAACCTGAACTCAATGCAAGTCAATGGGGGTCGAACGTTCGAAAATGAATGTCCCCTTTAAGAGGGCTTATATGCAAGTTATTGGCCATAAATGGTGCGTGGGGGTCCGGATACTGCCCTGGGGGACAGGAATCGATGACAAAAAAACAAAAAAAATCATGCCTGGGGGGTCCCCTTAACCTGCCTGTGACGTTGCACATCTGTATGATGTATAGAACCTGCTGCAGCAAAACTGACATTTCTAAAAAAGAAAAATGACATTTTTATTTTTTTTCTCTTAAGTGTGCAGTTCCCCCATCCGAAACAATACCAGACACTTTAGGTCTGGCAGAAATGTAAGGAGGGACCAATTTTTTTTAAAAAAACGGTAGGGTTCCCCCTAAAAGTCATACCAGGCCCTTAAGGTCTGGTAGGAATATTTAGGAGGGACCCCATGTAACAAAAAAAAAAAGTGTGTGGGGTTCCCCCTTAAAGTCATACCAGGCCCTTAAGGTCTGGTAGGAATGTTGAGGAACCCCACCCCCAAAAATGGAGGGGAAAAAAACATGGAGTCCCCCCTAAAATTCCATACCAGACCCTTGATCCGAGCATAGGCCTGGCATGGCCGGAAAGGGCGCTCGCTTGCCACCCCCTCCCTCCCACACCAGGCCACATGCCCTCGGCACTGGGAGGGTGTCCCCATGCCGATGGGGACAAGGGCCTCGTCCCCACAACTCTTACCCGGTGGTTGTGGCGGTCTGTGGGCAAGGGGGATTATTTGCATCGGGGTACCCCTTTAATTAAGGGGGCACCCAGATGCCACCCCTCTCCCTTGTGAATGAGTCAGGGGTACTTGTACTCTTACCCATTCACTAAAGGGTTAAATCAAATGGTTATTATAAAGTCCAGACTTTTGATCAAATCCTTTATTTGAAAAAAAAACAAAAAGACATGTTTTTGACAAGTCTTATTTAAAAAAATAAAACTGGATCCACCTACGTAATCCTTGGTCAATCACGGCGTCCAGCTTTGTCCACGACAACGACGAAATGAAAAATAAAAACAATAAAAAATAAAGAGAAATAATAAATTTAAAAAAAACGCCGTTCCGTCCGCTCCCCGCCGACTCCCGCCGCATAATGACATTTTGACAGATGCCGGAAAGACATAACACAATTGGGCGGAGCTAGCGTTGACAGCTAGCTTCGCCCAATTGTGTAGTTTACCGACATCTGATAGGCGAGCCATGATTGGGCAGAGTCATCACGACTTTGCCCAATCATGGCTCTAATTCAATACTGAGCCCTGATTGGGCAAAGTCTTGGTCAGGTGCAAGACTTTGCCCAATCAGAGCTTTGGAAGGCATTTTGCCTTATGGAATGTCTGCGGTTGAATAAACCGCGAACATCCCATGAAGTTTGGCGTTCGGCGAATGCTCAAGCGGCCAATGTTTGTTTCGAACTCATGTTCGAATCGAACACTCGGCCCATCCTTACTGGTGACCACTTCTCGAGCTTGCCTCTGGGATCTCTTTCATGTTATCACCCCTTCTCACTCAGTAATTCTACTGTTTGGAGAACCCCCCTTTTCAGAGTGGCATACTGTCACTACTGCTTTTAGATTGTAGACACTTCTGGAGAGTTTTCTTGCTTTTACAAATTGTGTATTGTAGTAAATAAAAAATATATTTGCACAAATCCAGCCAATCATTATTTATAAATAATATTAATGTGCATGTGTGCGTAGCTCCAAATAAGTTGATACAGAAATACCTAGCATTCTGTTTGTAAATAGTTAACTCTGCACCTTGTGCAGCCTGTGATGCAGAGACTTGTGGGAGAGGCAGTGCAGAGCCTGAGACGAGCTGTGCTGTGTGAGCCTGTGGAGACTGCAATTCCCAGGAGGCAGGAGGGGGATTCTGGGCTGGAGTTGCTGAGCGCACTCAGCCCGGGAGAACCTCAGTGAAGGACACAGATCTGTTTGGCTGCCCCTGATGCAGAGGAGCCATAGATTCTGTGTAAGCCTGTCTATGGGAGTGTGAGGGGACTGGAAAATATCTGGATAGAGAGACTGCTGCTGCAAACAGTGTCGTTTGGACGATCGCTTCTGTGGGACATCACGTCACCTACATAGCGGGGATATCGCAGCCTGGATGAATGGCCGCGCCTATACAGTGAGAGATCCATAGAGGCCCGGTAATCCACAGGAGGCCTAGAGGCATTTGCAGAGAGAGTTCTTCAGCATCTTCCTGTGACCGAAGATTCAAGGTACAGCGGATGACGCAAGGACCAACAAGGGTGTCAGCTTGAGAGAAAGGGGATGCCCGTCTCTCGCTGACGGACATCACAGCTGCAAGATTGACTTTGGAATTGGTGAGAGGACTTTGGCCATTTGTGTTATTTCTAATAATTCACTTCAGCAACACAGTATGGCCCCCAACAATGGCTAGCCTATGCTATTGCTACTGGCCAGTAATATAGAGAGTTGGAGAATAATTGAGACATTAGCA